CCTTGTTTCGTGCCCAAACATGTGGATTGAAAGCTACAGGGTCCAAATCGAAAATATTTTGCCCAAAATTCTATTGACCGTTTCGACTTCGGCACACCCAAAATTCTACTAGTTATTTCGACTTCGGCACCGGAATCGAAAATTATTTCTATTTTTTTTTGGAATATTATAAATTAATATTAATATAAATAATATAATATTTATAATAATTTAATCATATTTAATAAATAAATATATATTATAAAATAATATAGAAATAAATTAATCTATTTTTTTTTAATATCATTAGATAATATCTAAATAATTTAAAATAATAAGGAATTATAATTATTTATATAAAATAATATTGATATATATAATTTTTCTTGATATAAAATAATTGGATAAAATATCGATATTAATTAAATAATTATTTTTTCTAAATAATCCCTTCCTCCTAATACTAAACCCCCCCCCCAATACAAAACACGGCAGGTAATTTTTAGTATTAGGGGGGTATTTATTATTAGGGAACCAAATCGAAATTATATTAATTAATTAATTAAATTTCCTTATATAACGTAATTAAAATATTGCCAAAAATGGCAGTTCGAAGTTTATTCCTAATACTAAATTAAAACCCTTAATACTAAAAACTATTTTTTCCGATCTCAAAATCAATTAAATTTCCTTATATAACGCAATTAAAATATTGCCAAAAATGGCAGTTGGAAGCTTACCCCTAATACTAAATTAAAACCCTTAATATTAAAAATTATTTTTTCCGATCTCAATATCAATTAAATTTCCTTATATAACGCAATTAAAATATTGCCAAAAATAACAGTTCGAAGCTTACCCCTAATACTAAATTAAAACCCTTAATACTAAAAACTATTTTTTCCGATCTCAATATCAATTAAATTTCTTTATATAACGCAATTAAAATATTGCCAAACATGGCTGTTCGAAGCTTACCCCTAATACTAAATTAAAACCCTTAATACTAAAAATTATTTTTTCCGATCTCAAAATCAATTAAATTTCTTTATATAACGCAATTAAAATATTGCCAAAAATGGCAGTTCGAAGCTTACCCCTAATACTAAATTAAAACCCTTAATACTAAAAACTATTTTTTCCGATCTCAAAATCAATTAAATTTCCTTATATAGCGCAATTAAAATATTGCCAAAAATGGCAGTTAGAAGCTTACCCCTAATTAGTAGAGTAGCCAGGCAGCTTGGAGTGAGGGATTGGGACTAGGCCCCCCTAATACTAAACACCCCCGGGTGAACTAGTTTTTAGTATTAGGGGGGAAAACCCACAAATGGTAGGTTGATTTTTAAATTGTTTTTTAAAAGGGATCAATTAAAAGTCAAATTAGCCAAATTAAAATTTTCGAAAATTAGAGATAAATGCCTATTTTTAGTATTAGGGGAACATTTAGTATTAGGAGGAAGGGATTAATATTAATATAATAATATTCAAAATATTTAAAAATATATATATATATATATTTTTATAAATATTAATTTTAGATTCATTATAATTTTATAATTAATTATTTTTTTTTTTTAATTTATCATTCGGAAATCATTAGATTTTCAAAATTCTAAAATAATATATTTTAATTTATTTTGCAAAAAAAAATATATATTATATAAATTAAAATTTAATTTTTATATAATTCATAAATTATTATTTTTTTTAAATAATATGTTTTAATTTATTTATTTTCAGAAGGATTATATATAATTCGTTAAATTAAAATAAAAAAATAAATAAAATTAATAATCAAAATTATTATTCGGAATTTAATATATTCTAAATAAATTTCTAAAATAATAATTCCCAATTTATTCTATGGATATAGTATATGAAGATTATAAATATAAATTTAGATATTTTATTTCTTTATAATTATTTAAATAAAAATAAAATAAATAATTTGGTTTATAATTCGGAAATTATTAAATTCTATATAAAATTCTGAAATTATATCCCTCCAATTTATTCTGAGAATTTATCTTTTTAAGGATTATTAATATGAATTTAGATCCTTCATTCCTGTATAATCCCTGAATAAAAATAATAAATAATTTAATTTATCAATCGAAAATTATCGGGTAATTGAAAAATATATACCCTGGGGGTCAAAGACTATACAAAGTTTAGCCTTTAGCAAAGGACATTCTTTCCCATGAACGACCATTGTTTGCCCCGCCATGTCCGGCATCAGGTGCAGCCTCGAAGTTCAAGGTAATTTCAATGAGAGCAAAGCTAGGTTATGGATCAATGGGTGTGAATTTGGCTGTAGATTCCCGATATCATGGCACCTCATCATAGAAAACAATATCATATACCATTCAAATACCCACAATATCCCACAATACTTCTTTATGTGACCATGTTTGGCGCCCGGTGTCGACCCATGGCGTTTGTGGCATTCTTGGCGCTTTTGCTAGGGACCTTTGGTAGCAAGTCTTTCTGAATGGTGGTTCCATACCAGTTTCTTTTTGGATATGAGCTGATATTCCACTTAAAAAAAAGACATGTCGCGCTGAGGAATTTCAGAGGCAAAATGGCTTACTATGGTTCTGCCATTGGCTAGGGCCTTGGCTTTTTTATTTTAGCGAACTACTTTTGGGTAGCATGAAATCACCGTCCATCACCTCAAGGTCATGATGCAATGGCCTACAGCTCTGACGATGAGCCGATGACTCACCACTCGGGTGCGCCACTCCGCTCCCCAGTGTTTATCAACTACTTACATCCGAATCTTACGATGATATAGCCACTAGGTATCGATAGGTATGGCATTGGTAGCAACATTGCATATTTTTTGTTGACCTGTCTTGGGTTGGCCCTTGCTCAAGCTCAGAAACCATCTCAGTGAATACATGCACCATGCATTGAGTTATGCCGATGCCAGTTCAAACGGTTTCTGAATAATTATGAATGTTGGCTTCAATCCCCACATATCCCCACCCCCATTCACGACGTGGCTTTTTTTTCATCCACCATGCCGACCAAACGCTGCAAAAGCAAAGAGTCCTTGGGGCGCATTGCCCTTTTGAAGGACAGACCGGCCAGGAAAGTTGTTCATCTTCAGCATGAAATGTGATGCCAGATAGAACTGACATGAGATGATGCTCAAAGATGTTCAATGATGTAATACTAGGTTTCCTTGATGATCTTGATTGATATTTGATATTATATTGATAAAGGTTATTTTTCTTGCAATATAATTGCATATTAATTGTCATAGATATATTTCGGTAGCCCTTTGGTCAAAAACAAATGTTCCACATGCATGGTTTGTATCACATCTTGGATCCAGGAGTTCTTCAAAGATTTGTGCGAGGAAGAGAAGGTAAGAGAACGGAAGAAAGAGATCAAACGTACCAAGAGTAGCAAGGCCCATGGTCTGCCATCTAACATATCACATCTCATCTCAACGAATGACTTTAAAAGTAATTAATTTTGTCCTGCTTCATTTCCATCCCGTATCATTCAGCCCAGGGGCACATATCATGGCGCTCTGCAGGTCTTCACTTTTGTCGACCTACCTGGAGCGAAGCCCAGGATCTCAGAACAGAAGGTCCGGGGCCGGGCTGTTTACATCATACAAGCCAACAAAGTTCTGATCAACACATTGGGTGCAATCTTCTTACTCAAATACTCTGATGTTTGATCAAGTTTGGTTGCAGGTTGTGCGCCCGTTCAATTATCGCTTCTTGAAGTCCTACTTGAGCACCTTCGTGGGCGATTTGCCCACCAAGCTGGAGACAAGGGTAAGCGACTGAGATTGACAGTTTCTTTCCGATGATTTCGGATTTAAGACTTTGAATCAACAGTTCTTCATAATCAACATTGATTAAGCAGGGTGTTGTTCTCTGATGTTGGCCTTTCCAGCCAGGAGGTCCTAACATGGGCTTCAAAGAATTTTGGCCTCAATGACTTTTCACATGATGATCAGCACGAGGCCAGGTATCTTGTTCGACAATCACCTGAAGCCTTCAAATGATTTTCCAGTCACCTGTTCACAGAACTTAGATTGCAGAAGTGCCATGTAGGTCTCAAACATCCCAGCCCGCCTTGTGTCCATCCAGCTTCCTGCCAGGCGTGGGCAAAGACGGAGGGCGACCTGATTCGAGGGTTGGCAATGTACGTTTGCAATCTTCGCCAGAGGAACATCAAACACAGGCTCCCACCCATGGTGAGTTTCAATTCAACATTCAAAAAGTATCAAGAAACCACCAACCAAAAATGAAACGCATTTGACTTATTATTCATCAGCCAGCACCAGTCAGTATAATCATTACAGTCATCCCTTTCAGCTCACGCCAGGAAAGGCCATGAGAAGATGGGCGTCCTGAAGTCCATTGTCAAGATGCGGCTGCAGGATAGCTGCCAGGGGGGTGACAATCACACGTGGTTTTCATGGTCACCCTGGCCGCTAATGATTTGGATGTTTCGATGTTTTTATTAGTGCGGTCGATGTGGGGTTCCACCGCTTTTTTCATTGTTATGTACTCAATGCCATGCATAGACTTGGCCAAACCTAATATTTCTGCCCAGGAGCTGAACTTGCTGCAGGATAACGACAAGAAGGTGCCTACGAAAGGCCGTTCGTCATTTGAGGCGAGGATTCGTGTTCATGGGTAACCCGCAGATTCCCCTCATAGATTCTGCCTGCTGTTATTGAAAAAAATATCGATCAAATTTCAAAGATGTGTAGCATATCTGTGTTTGCCATATATTATATTGTTATTCAATAGAAAGTTGATCCGTCAATAGTCACATGTTCAATAATCAATACACAAACAATGGTTCAATTTTTTCTGGTGTCAATATCGGTTCATCATTGGAAAAATACTTTGTTTCTCACACACACTTGATATAGCACCGGTAGGTCCTCAAGAAGCACAAAAAAAAGGGTAAAAAGACCAACAAAGAGCCACAGACGAAGGTAGAGAAGGTTTCAAGAAAGAGAAAAGATCAGGAGGAAAGCCAGCAGGTTAGCAAGCTGCCCAAGACCAGTGTTGCAAAAAACCCAGATCAGATGGACACAATCCCCATGCTTTCAGACTCGCAGGTTCCAGGTGATACATATGAAGAGTCCCAACCCGTGGATCTCGAAGGCACCCCAAAGGAGTCACAGGAGGTCGCCGACGTGCCAGCGGCAAAGGCATGTGTGGGAGACCCTGAGGAAGAAGGGGGATCTGGCAAGGAGGGGGCAGAGGAAGAGGAACGAACGGATGATGAGGTGGTTGATCCTGCCATATTTTTTCCGTCCCCGATGGCACCACCACCTGGCGCGCCAGAAAACCCACCTGTTCCACCACCTGGGTCCTCACCTGGCCCCATCTCTTTAGATACCCTTGACAGTGATGAAGATCCGGACTTCAAAGATAACAAGAAAGCTATGCAAGCACAGTCCGCTCGAGGTGGTCAGAAGGACCGCGCTTCCAACACTTTGCACCAAACTTAGTCCGTTACCTAAGTAAGAACCAGTGGATGCATGCTTAGATGGTCAAGTCATTTTGCATCAATAATGCATGTGTCACTATTATATTATTACTTGTCAACATCAGAAATGGTGCACACTGATGCTAATGTAGCTATACGTAATTATCTTAATTATTACATATGTGCCCTCGATCATGTTTTTGTTGCATTAGCTAAAATGGGTATAAAGATATCATTAGTAACATTCAAGGTAAATTGTCCGATATCTACACTTCGCAGGACCGAGAAGCTCTAGCCCCTCTACAAGACCCGCCCGATGATGACTTGCGGCAAATGATTGAGTCAGCTATCGATGATATCAACAAGTCTACTGAAGGTCATGACACGGAAACTACATTGAGTCGAAACCTACTTGAGGCCAGGTCTTCATGATTCTTCATGCTGTATCAATGGCTCTTGTTTGTTTTGGCAGGGTCAGGGCAGTAGCAACGCAGTAAAAAATGCATTGGTTCATCTCGGTTTTGAAACAAACATCAATGAAATTCAATGAAAAATTGTTAATTTTGGCAGTCCCAAAGCTACATCGTACAGGGTGATTCCAATCTTGTTGAGGTTTTACACGCACCCCGCTCACTTGACGAGGCGCAGAAGAAGTTGCGTCAGGTTTTGCGGTCCAAGTTCCAGAAGGCTGGGAACCAAAAGCAGGGAGAGGATGAGCAGGAGGATGCTGACAGGGAGTTCAAGGATGATGACGAAGATGAGGAAAAACCAAAGAGGAAGGGCAAAGGGAAAGGTAGGGGCCGAGGTAGAAAAACAGAGGGCGGAGACAACAAGCCTGGGAGGGGAGGCAAGAAACCGGCAGAGTCAGGACAGGAGGAAACTTCTGCAGCTTCTTCAGGGCATCAGCAGGCAGAAAGAGACAAAGAACAAATGTACATGGACATGTTGGACATGAAGTTTTTAGAAAAAAAGGCCAAAGAGGCAGAACAGAAGGCAGAGGATGATGTTATTGAGACTCAGAAGGCGAAATCAATGACAGAAGGAGACGAAGATCAGGAGGAAGCAAAGCCACCCAAGGCTCCCACTCGAAAGACTGCATGTAAGGCCAAGCCTACCCCGAAGAAGAAGAAGAAGAAACCTGACCCCCCATCGACTGAGCCGAAGACCCCAGAGAAAAAAACGGAAAAGGGTAAGCAAGCAGCCTCCCCAAAGTTGGCCTCCCCACAGTTGACCCCTCGTAGACAGAAGTTGAAGAGAACAAAGAGGTATCAGGACAGCCCGCTAAGATACAAAATCTATAAAGCTTTGGTGCTTGTGCTTTGCCTTTTTTTTTGCTTCAAAAAGATAGACGTTTTGGGGACAAAACGGTCGCTCCTACTTAGCTTCCATATTAATTAATATAATACCTATATACCTATACTGGGATGTCTCAAAATGAGGTGCCCTTTTTTCCCTGCTTATTTAAGGTCCCTTTTAAACCAAAAAAGAGCACCTCATTTTCAGACATACCCATATGAATGAACATGTCATATATCATCGATATCTTTTTGTAGATTGCAGAGTCAGGACATTATTTTAGTATGCTATATGTTGGTGATAATAACATATAATAACTACCATCTGCAGGAGGAGAACATCGCCATTCTGAACCAGTGGCGCCCCCACCTGCGCTATCTCAGCTTGCCGGAAAATTGGAAGGAGAAGAAGTAGGATCCTGAGATCGGACCAACCCAAGTCAAGTCGCTCTACATAATAGGATGGATGCCGTACAAGTGCTTGATGGGCAAATAGCTTACATGATCCCAGCGGGTTAACATATAAAATAATAATATTCTTTTTTTTACATACTGACATGTGGGTGCTCAGGACTTTTACCCTTCAACCGCCTGAAGATCTACCGCACAAGTCTGAGGAGACGGTTACTTCCATCCAAGTTTTGTCCGCTCCTGAAAGACATTTGAGTACGATCATATCTCATGACCCAAGTAGAGAGTAAGGGGCAATGGGTACTTCTTGGGTATGGCCCTGCAAATCATAAGGATGATGGCTTTTTTGATTGAAACCCTTTCTCATTCTGAGGTTGGACCGCGGGGCAGGCAACTTCTACATCATGCCTGTATCCAACAAGTGGGTGGCCCGGGTGAACATGGCCTGCGATGAAAACTTGAAGGCTGACAGGGGCCCTGACTTACAATCCTTGGACTTCTTGACAAACAGTTAATGAACATATACGATATATCATATATATATATATATATATATTATTTCAATTCATATATATCATGTTTGATGTTTTTTTCTAGCGGAATCCTCAATACAAAATCCGTTTTGGCGGCCCATTAATAGTAGTGATTAATATCTCATTATACATAATCCCATTCCAGTAATATGAGATAGACCAGTAATAATAATGATATATTAATAATAATAATGATTATATCCCCTATATCCCCTATACAGCTATATAGACCAGCTATATCCCATTCCATCTCCTCCCCACTGACCCCACTGACTGCCTCTAGGTCGGGTGATCCCTTCAGCTTTGCAGCCCCGGTCACGTGTCGCACGTATGCAGTTTTGAGTTTTGGTAGGAATGGTAAGTCTTACTGGTGCTAAAGATAGGGAATTTTCGGGAATGATCCACTGGCTAACTATCATCCCAGCAACCCCCATTCCCATCCATTCCCTACTAAGCACCAGTAACAAGTGGTTCAGAAAGCCATAGATTTCCTTGAAAAATGGTGATTTAAACATGATTGAACAAAAAAATATGGTGGTGTCATGGTGGTTTTTTCTGGGATATAACTTTGAGAATTCTTGGCCGTGTCCCACCATCATTCAGAGTTGCTCCAACCCATGATTTACGGTTTTTCCACCCAGTACCTTGGGAGAAACCCAGTGATCATGGTGTAATGATTACTACCCAGTCAGAACTGGATGCACAAAGTGGGAAAGTCTTGGTTGGGTATTTTGATGGCTTAGTTTTTTTTTGTCTGTGATACATTGCCCAGCCAAAATAGGCATGTTTGGAACGTATCCGTATCAATGAGGAACACTAGCTTTAAACTCTTCCAACCCTTTTCAGGTGCAAGTGAACATGATGTAATTCAATCCAATGAATGGGAGGATGTATGAATAGATGAATGCGAAGCAGTACAAAACAAACCACAACATATCGCAACATGAAGTAAAACCACACAAGAAAATATAGTATAAGAAAACAAGTGGAACCAAACGGAGAGGCACTGAATAACATGACATGACATGACATGACATGACATGACATTTGGAGGCTTCCCGAAGGATCCATTAGTGGTGGCAATTCGCATCAGCAACAAACTCTGCACCAAAATAGAAGATAGCCTGGACATGGGATGACATGGGCATCTAAAAGCATAAACGGGGAAACCCAATGCCATAAACATCTACCATTTGGGGACGGTTTATAGCACCCATTCCTTGGTTTATGGGCTTTACAGCAAACTTCAGATCGGGCTTTCGGACCAGATCTGGCGTATCTCCATGTTCAATAATGTTAGTAAAGTCATAAACCAGCCATATTATGGTGGTTTATACCACCCTTTTATGATGACTTTGAGGATGGTTGATTATTGCTTTACTAACATGATAGTTGATTCAAATATTTTTGTGGCCCATCCTGATTTTGGATGTTATAACTCCAGCTGACTTTGTTCTCACGGTGGTTGGATATACAAAAAAGCCAACTGTGTACTTATGACGATCTGCCAATAGATTTGAGACTTGTACACCGACTCTTCGTTGAAAACATGGCTCAGCTCCTCCATTGTGACTGTAAAAAAGTGACTCTAAAAATCTTTAAAATATATACTATTCTTGTAGGTTTTTGTTGGCTAATACCAATGTCATGTCAGATACTTTAAATACCCAATGCTGTCTCACTGGTACTAAAATGGGACATGGGTTTACTCAGCTGGTAAGTGGGGTATAAGTCTAATTATAACCTGATATAACCTTGTATAATTTTATATAACCTTTTAAAACCTTATATAACCTTTTATAACCGTTTATACCCTTATATAACCTATTTAACCTTATATAACTTTATGTAACTTTATATAAGCTTATACGTACATATATATATATATATATATATTCATTTATTCATTTATTCATTTATTTATTTATTTATTCATTTATTTATTTATTCATTTATTTATTTTATTTGTTTATACATATAACGCACATATATAACACATATATACATATATCTATATACTGCAGATATTGCATCTACATTATATTGAAATATATCTCTATTTATTTGATGACAGGAAAAAATGCAGATAAGTGAGTGTTGTCACTTCAAATGACACAGATTTGGTGGGTCGCAACTTCCCCATTATATCGCCACAAAAAACAGCATTGCCCAGAACCCTCGGCAAGCGCTGACGAAGCATTTCCGCACCCTGAAGCTGTCGGGATTCCCAGGGGCCACCCCGGGTTCACCGGGGTTCACCGGGGCATCCCCATCCAAAATGGTGTAAAACTCATGGGAAAACTATGGGAAAATCATCTATAAATGGAGGTTATAATATGTTTTAATGAGGTTTATATGGATTTAAACCATGAAAAGTAGAAGGATAGCTGGGATAAGTAAGAATTAACGGGAAAAATCCATGGGAACTAAAGGAAGATTTGTCCGAATCAGTTCGATTCCAATTGGGATTTGATGAACACTTGGCCGCCCCCGACATCTCTAGGAGTTTTGTATCAGTTGGCTGGGAAAATCCATGACTGGTTGGTGGTTTGGAACCATGGAATTTTATGATTTTCCATATGTTGGGAATGACATCATGACATCACTCCATCATTTTTCAGAGGGGTGGCTCAACCACCAACCAGATGATACTGGGAGAATCCAGACGTTGATGTGGGCCTTTGGAATATTCATGCCGTTGCATGGCCCTCCACCCTGGAAGTCCACCGATGACGACAACACCCACGATGACGTGGCGGTCACTTTAGGCTTAGCCCCCGATACGTGTCTCTACAACCTCAGGGGTTGGTGCATAGCAGTGTTTGCTGTCACTCTGAACGAGGCTAGAGGACTTGGGCAGTTTCATGTGTTCAAGTTCATTGGACTTACAGTCACTATGTCCCAAGAAATCGCACTTTTTTGGTGTGTTGGTCAAGTCCTGATTTGGCCGGAGAAAGTGTACCGAAACCACCTAAATGGTGTTTTTAGTTTCTCAGAGCCTTACTGGATTGCATTCTGTTGGTCATGCCATTGTGTGATATTTGCAAAGACAGATTGAACGAACTATAACCAAGCCGACATCTCAATACATATCATGTATAAATATGTATAAATCCCAAGCACTGGTTCAGTCCCCATCTTTCCGCAAGCTGGGAGGCCTTCCCCCATGACACATCCACTCAGGCCCAACACGGCAACTCAAGATGACGTGCGGAAGGACGGCATTCCGTGGATTTCGGGCAAGCGCCAGCCATCTAGCGATATTTTATCGGATCTAGAACCATTCTCATAGCATGTCTATAATCATATGAACCACAAAGATCTGGGTGCATTGAACATAACTGAACCAAGTATGCCATTGGTGTGCGATCTTGGTAGAGGAACTCCCTCAGGGCTTCCCACTACGCAAAGTCATACATGGCTGGGAACCCCCAATATAGATGATATAAACACGGAGGTTTCAATGGGAAAATAGTCATAAATAATCTATAAATTGGTGCTTTTCCGTTGCCACTTTTGATTACCTGAAAGAAGTGTTGGATCACAAGAAACAGCCTGTGTCCCTCTAAACCCCAAAAAACACCTGGGTTTTTCATGGATCGTGGTGCATTTGGTGTCCCATGGAGCAGGGGCTTCCTGGCATCGCTTCCAGGCCTACAGAAAGCTGGCCTTGAAGTACCATCCAGACACTTGGTACTGGGGTGACTGGATGGTTTTTATGGAGATTTGATGGGTATGTAATGGGTAAGGAATGGGCATGTAATGGGTATGTAGTGGATATACAGATGGCCAGATACATAGATAGATAGAGAGAGACAGATAGATAGATAGATAGATAGATAGATAGATAGATAGATAGAAAATAATGAAAAACAGTAAAATATTTTTTTAAAAAAAAAGGAAATTAAATAAAGAAAAAATAAAAAGAAAGAAAGAAAGAAGGAAAGAACGACAGATAGATATGTGATTTTTGGACTGATATATTTTAGATAGATTTTAAATAGAAATAGATATTATGCTTTTCTTGAAACGGGTTCTACAATTGCTCCAGCTGTTCCTAAACCAAGAAAGTTGCGGGTGCCCTGCTTTCAGACAGACCCATGTTTGACAGTGTTTGGTTCCATGTCAAGTTTCATGTCTATTCTAGTTAATAACAACTAGACTTGTTGATCACAGGGGGGCTTCAAGCTTTGCCTTGAGAATGCCTTCATGGTAGGTAATGGATCCCCAAGTTTCAAGTGATCGCTTGATCCGCAACTTCTTGGGACCGGCACCAGACCCTTGGAACAAGCTGAAATGACTGCACCGGATATGGGTGTGTCTGAAATCTGGCATGCCCCAAAATAAACCCTTTTAAGTATAATGGAGAAGACAATAATTAGCAAATTTTGGGGCACCCTATTTTCAGACAAACCCATGTGATATGTTTTGTTCCATCTATTCGTGGCTGTAGCCGTGGTTTCCCCACATTTTTCCAAGGACAAGAATCCTGGCTCACGAGCACGGAGGCTTAGAGGTCGTGATTTTGATCATAGCTACCTGCAGCTGCAGGATGCTGCAGGATCTTTCAAAAAAAAGCGGCAGATTTGCCAGGCATCATTTGGTCAGGGAAACTTCAGTGACCTCGCCATACATGATGGTCTCATATAGCGTTTGGTAATTTAACATAGCCATAGACAATGGTCCAAAAGCATGGATGATGAACCCCTTTTTTAAACATTAATTAATTAGTAGCATGGAGATTTTCCATAGCCATATCAAATAACCAGGGGATAACGTTCGTGATTTTTTTAATGGTCCATTATAGCCATTTGATGTCCTGTTTTAACCACGTTGAATCTCATTTTTTGCTGCTGAAAGCAGCATGTTTCGAAGCGCCCGTTCAATCAGCATGAATTTGCGTGCTACAATTGGCCAATAGTACTTGATTATACCATCGTGATATATGTTAATCCTATTGTCCTTGAAATCCTATTTTGTTGCTGATTGAATGAGCAGGATCGATCCAAAACCATGGACTTTTTCCATTCCAAAACCAAGGCTCACGAGACCTCAGAAATCTTCCGGGAGATTGCGGAAGCTTACGAGGCACATGGAGTTGTGGCAAGAAAACCCGAATTATCCTCTGGTAAACACAAAAAGCTATTGAACATGACCCATTTAGTTCGTTGATTTACCCATTAAAAAGTTGTGATTTTCCATAGTTTTTTGTAAACGTTGACCAGAGGGTACCAGTTTTCTATGTTTACCCACTATTCACCCACTATTAACCAACTATTGACCACTATGGAAAACCACTATAAATGGCTATTTTCCATAGCTTCAACAATTTGGACCCAAAAATTATGGATTCAACCAACAAGACATCAATCATGGGAGGGAGCTTGGAGGACATGGGGCAACTCATGATGATTTTTTCGCCTTGTTTTTACTGAGGCTTTGCGAAAATTCTTTGAGACTACTTAAGTGAAGCAAAAAAAACGAATGTTGTTAAACCAATAATAAACTACCCATTTGGGAATGGTAAACATACCACCTATAAAAATGGTGATAATTGGGGGATGGTTTATTATTGTTTTAACCACATTAATCTAAAATAATTAGTTAATAAAATGATTGGCTTAGATAGGATGGGATACTGTAGGATACAAGCTTAAAATTGGGGAATATGGCAATAATAAATTCTTCATATATATATATATATGCCTATTTATAAGATATTTTTGGTTGCCATATTTAATTACCCGCGTGTATGGCAAAATATGGCAGCATTATTGATCCAAAATTCTTCCTCGAAATTCCACGAAAAAATATTCTTATCGGTCCTAAAAGATTTTTATTAATCATTAATTCAAATACAAAAATTTTGTTAATTTGTTAGAAATATATTTTTTTCAGGCAAATAACGATAAGTATTGTTTGCTCAGAATTGGATTTTAATGGAATTTTGTAGACTTGCAAATATTATAGGAAATATATTAGAATCAACCATATTTACCTCAGCCTACATGTATTTATAGCCCACTAATAATTACTCGCAAATTTATATTATTAAAAATATATGCGAATAACAATAATTATCTGATTTTATTTTTTTTATGTTTATTATTATTTTGATCAAATTAGGCACCTAAATCACCCTTATTAATTTTATAATCGATTATAAAAAACCGATTTGCCACCATATTGCGTTGAAATTACTTAAATTACGTAAATTATTTTGGTAATTATAGTTTTAAATAAAATAATCTTGAATGTATTGATATAATTAAATCGGTTATTATTCCATATATCCGAGG